ACCAAAAAAATGTTCTCTGGTCAGCCAAGACATTTCCTAGATTGTGATGTTTGGTCATTTGAATAAATTTTGGAGAGTGGATCGCTTTGAAAACTTTTCAAATCTTGATTCTTTCTTTTAAAAATCAAATCTTAGAAAACGAATCGAGACAAAGAATCAGTGTGATTACTTTCTGTTCAAACTATTTGCATTTTTCCGTCTGTTGTCCACAATCACAACGTTTCAACCGTTGTACGCTTTAGCCTTCCTCAGGTGATCGGAATTTCGAAAAGAAACCTTTATTTTGTCCACGGAGGTAGATTGTTCTAGTCCCACGTACCATGTTTTTTTCGTATATTGAAGTTCCAGTTATTACCCTTTAGTAACTCAACTCGCCAAGATTTTGTTTACCTCTGCTGTGGCTAGATATTGAACTCACAACTCTTTGGATCAAGTCACTGAATTACTTCAACCAACGCGTTTACCCACTGGCCCATGCGAATATGACAGCATAGATGAGGTCAACAGTCCGAGCAATGTAAATAGTGTAAATAGTTACAATACCTCATCTCAGAAATATAGACATATCCTGAAGAAGGCCTGAGTGTACAACGTCTGAAATGTTGTGAATATGACAATAAAGATGAAGACTAGAGTCCGAACAATGTAAATATTGTAAGTAGCAAATGTACCTCACCTCAGAAATATAGACAGTTCATGAATAAGGCCGGAGTGTACAACGGCTGAGACGTCGTCAATATGACAATAAAGATGAAGACTACAGTCCGAACAATATAAATATTGTAAGTAGCTAAAGTACCTCATCTCAGAAATATAGACAGATCCTGAAGAAGGCCGGAACGTACAGCGGCCGAAACGTCGTGAATATGACAATAAGATGAGGTCAACAGTCCGAACAATGTAAATAGTTACAATACCTCATCTGAGAAATATAAACAGATATTGATTTCTTTTTGCCTATTGTCCAAACAAATGTGGCAAAGTATTTCTTATCCTTCATATGTTAAACTCTACAATGTAATCATAAGAAGGTTTTCCGTCCTGGGTATGACGATAAACAACATCCTCGTCAAGGTTAAGACGATACACTATGTCCAAAAGCAAGACCTCTGATCAAGAGGTTTTGAGGAGCGTTGACCTACCTCTTAATTGCTGGTGTTCCCAGGTCCACCCTGACCCGGGGCGGTAGCACCTGTTAGGATCCCAGCTATGGGCAACGATTTAACCCCGAAACTGAGGTAAAAAGCATCATAAAAGTGTAAAAATAGGTTTTAATACCAGAAATACTTTGTAAAAAAATATTACCAGCAATACATTTTTACCAACATTACATTATTGAAAATATTACCAAAAAAATATAAAAAAAAAATATCCAAGATTGTAAATTTCCTAAAAGAAGTTGGATTGTACTCAAAATATGAGTAATTGAAAAATGGTTCAAATATATATATATATACACAACTTTTTTTTTTACCAAACTATCGCTATGAATCTATTTCAAAATTTTGGCATTAAATGACCCACTGAGGTTGATATGCCATAAAACAAAACAAAACAAAACATAAGAGGGATTTACATTTTTCTTTAATTTTCCTAATGCCATTCGATTTTCGAGGCTATTTTTGAACTTTTAATACGAAACGGCGCGTGTTCTTGTGTGGTCTCTCTATGTTTCTCTACTTCATATTAACAGTTATTTTATAAATTGTTAATTTTTCTCCTTTCATCATTCTCTATCTGTCGAAAGAGAAAATCTATAATAGCATAAAAGCCCCCAAAAAATAAAAAATAGATAAAGTAAAAGAAAACTTTTTTCAATTATGTCCAAAAGATTTAAATGAGATTACAAGAATTTTCTTGCTGTAAATGTTATCTTCAAAGTGGATTTTAAGTTTACGCTTTGCCTTCTGTTTTTAGTTTAATCTTATCAAACTAATCCCAATGATGCCATCGTAAATCCAAGTTAAAGACATTAACTTCATATTAGACCTAAATACACGCTGCCCTTCCCAAGCAAAACAGATTCTTTTTTAAGAAAGAAAAGCGATTAACACAAATTTTACTCCAATAAATTTTGCCGCGAGTTATTTCGTATTTACGAGCACGTCAGTGAATGAGGACTTACGTAAAGGCCGTCGGGGCCGATATACAAACAGAAAATTGTCGGCTAGGGTTCGAATTTAAATAGTAGCTACTTGTGTTCGCTCAGTGAGGATCGATTTTGGAAATTATATGAAGCATTGATATTGTGGTCTTTGTCATATGGGGAGATACGTTTACAAAACTCATTGCTGGCTGGTTGATTTGTTTTCTTCGTCTAGTCAAGTCCTTTGCAGGTTATTTAAAGCCAGGAAATGGCAAAACCATGAAGAACCATCTTTTTACGGATTACCAAGACTTTGCAGGTTATTTAAAGCCAGAAAATGGAAAAGTCATGAAGAACCAGATTTCTACGCTTTATCAACCCTGTGCAAGTTATTTAAAGCCAGAAAATGGAGATACCATGAAGCACCAATTTTCGATGGTTTATCAATACTTTGCAGGTTATTTAAAGCCAGGTAATGAAGATAGCATGAAGAATCAAGAATGCCATAAGCGGCCATAAAATGGAAATAACACGAAGAACCAGCTTTCTACGGCTTATCAACCCTGTGCATGTTATTTAAAGCTGGAGAATGAAGATACCATGAAGAACTAATTTTTGATGGCTTATCAACCCTTTACAGTTTGTTTAAAGCCAGAAAATGGGTATACCTTGAGAAACCAGCCTTCTACGGCTTATTAATACTTTGCAGATTATTTAAAGGCAGAAAACTGAGACACCATATACTTTCTACGGCTTACCAACCCTTTGTAGGTTATGTCATGCCAGAAAATATCTTTAAATTGTAAGAACTTTGCATTTTTGGTGATAATAATAATAATGTCTTACTGATTAACCCATAGGTGGGAGTAGAAGTGATGGATTCTTACCTTTCCTAAAGGTATTTGCGCGTAAGTAATATATAACGAAACCAAATGAATTTAAAATCTGCTCTCCGATTAACAATTCCGAGTCTTTATACTGTGACACTATTTAGCTACGGTAATTGGCTGACTAATTAAGTATGGTAATTATAAACAACGAGAAATACTTAAGGCCAGAAAGAGCTATAACGAAGGACATGCCGAGCGACATTATTTTTTTTAACAAAAGAAAAATGGGTAAAAATTTTATTTGTATTTACGAAGAAAGGTATTTTTTCGCAGAAGATAGAAAATTCGTAAGAAAAGCAGATTTCGGATTCTGTCAGAATTAATTAATGTCATGACGTGACAAGGGAAACAGAATACGGATAAAGGATAACAATCTGCCACACGTGTCGCAATAATAAAATTTCAATTCGGTCAAAGGCATGCAAAGCAGAATTCTAGAAGATAATCGAAACTGGGTCAAGCATGCGACCGAGAAAGAATTAGGTGAGACCACCCCAAAAAGAATAGCCATTAATTATCTTTCGGAGATATCATTTGGTTTTGTTTCTTGTGTCCAGAAGAAGACCCATTTGTTGTATGTCCGTATCTTGACATGAGGAGATAGGGTCGAGAAGGGGAAATCATTATTACTACCTGTACAAGCTGTTGGCGACAGAATGCAATGGTGTTGAGACGAGAAAGACAAAGAGATTTAGTCGACCACGCAGTTAAATAGTTGGCTAGCGATAGTTAATGAGTCACGAAAAAAATTCCGCTAATGAATTCCAGGCGAACCCAAGTTAAGGTAAAAATTTAATGACCGCAGTAAAATTCAGAAGTGTTCTGGCCGATAGAAAAGAAAGAAAGAATGAAAAGAAAAGATTTTTTTTCTTTGGGCATTAATTGTAAACTGAGACCAGTCTAACCACACCCACACTGCCGAGCGTTCATTTGCTGAGTGGTGGCGTGAGTGATGGGCGAAGTTGAACATATGAGAAAGAAGGGAAAATTGTTGACGCTCTCTGAGGGGATTGGTCTGAGATAACAATATGAGAAAGGAAGAGTTTAGGAGGATAATTCCCCTCAGACTTCTCCCCACGGAATGGGGAGAGCCCCTCTAGGACAGAAAGTAAGTAACTTCCAAAAATGGGAAGTGATAAATTTTCCTGTCCGAAGACAAAGAGAAACCTTATTGAGGATTTGGAATTATCGAAGAACCCAAACTACGACAGGCCCCCAACCCTGTTTTGGTCGGCGTCCATATAAACGAACGTCCCCAGAGCTTGAATGACAGTTGGAGTTGGAGAGACAGTTGAGATGGTTTGGAGATCGGAGACGCACGCAGATCGACAGAGAGCTGGGAGCTCGGAGACCAGCCTCGCAGGAGCTGACTGAATGATTTCCACGCATTCCGACTTAGAACTCTAACGAAAAGACTTTTTTTTTGAAGAACGACTTAGACTCACACCACCTGAAAAACGCAAAGTGTCACGAATCCACAGAAACCGGCTGGGAAAAAGACGCAGTCCTGTATTCAGCAAACAGATATAAAGATACTTATTTTTTCAACACATTTGAATCTTTTGAGTTGTTTCATTATTTTCTTTTACATATACTTGTGCGGTATTACCCTTGTTCGGACTCGACTTGCATTACGGCCCGACGCCTGATTGATTTCGTCTACCTAAGATCAAATCACAACGTGGGTAGGTTAGACTAGAAATCAAAGCAGTTACTTCGGTAACCAGACGTTGGAGGCGAGATGGGAACGGCAAGGCTGATATCGAATCTAACCAGACATCGACCGCGACCAAGACAACCAGAGGGGTTAGTGTCACACATGGTTCCGTGGTAAACCAGATTTCCATCCGAACCAGCCAAGGGTTAGATCGTCACAGATGGTGCTGCAGTTAGCCCAGGGTTAGAGGCGTCACAATTGGCGGCCGTGACCAGGACGAACCGGCGGCGTCACAATTGGCGCCGCAACCAGCATAGGACAAGACCAGGGTGGCGTCACGATACGCTACACCACTCGCACACCCAAGCCTACAGCACCTGATATTCCCAAGTGGTCACCCATCTAGGAACTGACTAGGCTTGACGTTGCTTAACTTCGGTGATCGTACAGGAACTGACGTTTCAACGTGATATGACCGTAAGTGACACCACTCACACATCCAATCTTACAGCTACAGAAATTCCCAAGCGCACTCCTATCTAGGTACTGAATAGATTCGACGTTGCTTAACTTCAGTTATCATACAGGAAGCGGTGCTTCAACGTGATATGAACGGAAGCCACACCACCCACACACCCAAGCTTACAACAAGTGAAATTCCCAAGGGGTCGACCATCAAGGTACTCATTAGTTTCGACGTGGATGACTTCGGTGTTCCAAAAAGAACCTGTGTTTCAACGTGATGCGGCCGTAATTCTTACTTTCAGGCAAATAATTCCAAAATTATTTAGTCCTGGGTATGACGATAAACTACATCCGGCTGCAGAGTCCCTAATCGGGATCTTTCCAGGAGCATGGAAGCAATTCTTAATTACTGTTGATCTCAGGTCCAAACTGACCTGCCGTGGTAGCACCTGTTCGGGTCCCAGGTACAGATAAATAGGGAGACAACCGCCAACAATAAATTTGAATAGTAAAAATACCAGTACTGCTACATTTTATGCATAAAAACATATAAGGGATGACCAGCAATACATTCTATCTGTACTTGAAGGCATACAACTAGGAACAAAATACATTTAGTTGAAGCCATAAAATTGTGTTTACATTTAGATCTTTGTATTTAGCCACTCTTACCAGATGTCAGTTATCTCCTGTTAATTGCCCTCTGAATATTCTCGACTGCCTTAACCAGGTATTGAACTCACACTCTGGATCTAACTAACGCCTTTATCCACTGTGCCATGAGTCCTTGGAAATGCGTTAGTTAGATGCAGTGACAGGACCAAAGAGTGTAAGTTTAGTACATTTTTCTTTGTTTCTAACAATTTTTTTGTTTTTCTTAATACAGAAGGTCCTCGGATTACGTCGGCCTCTACGTACGACGTTTCGTGGTTATGGGTCCATCTCTCATGTTTTTTTTGTTTTATTTTTTGTTTTTTGAGAACATTTTGCCCTTCACTATAGCTCAGAGTTTAAGGTAGCTTTGTGAGTGCTTATGTAGGTGAGCTCTATGTCGAAGATCAGGTTATGTTGTGCTGTAGGAATGGATTTCTGACATAAGTCGAGCCCCTGTCCTTTTGTAAGGTGTCTTTCACTAACAAACGTTCTAACCACGTGACCACATGCCCAGTTACTTTTGAGTAGTTTCTTCATCTTGATGAAGTGATTTCTGTCTTTGTGTTCTACTTGTTCTGTGTGTGGAGTCCCTTCAGGAAATTGGTAAGCATGGCTCTCCACAACTTCTTATCAGTTGTAAACTCTTAGTAAAGATCCTTTCTCTTTCCCTCTCTCTCTCTCTCTCTCTCTCTCTCTCTCTCTCTCCTAATCCCTGTTCTATCAAGCTTGTTAACTACATTATCTGCTGCTTTCCTTCGTCCTTCTTATCTTCAATATGTTTTGTTAGCGTCAAGCACTCTTTTCTCATTATATGTTCTTGGAATTTCATCTCTTTCTTTCTGATTCTAAGTATAAGTGTCCCTTTTTGTTTTCATTTTCCCCAGAACTTCATCATTGCTCACATGTCCAGTCAATGATATTCTCAACCGAACTCTGTAGAACCACAATTCTGTTACCTCAGATCTCTTTATCTGTGATGAGATCATTCATTATTTACTGTCCTGTAGGGGAACACATATTACATAAGAGTTCAGTACTCTTTTCTTTGTTTCTAACAAAATTTTTGTTTTCTTAAGATCCTCGGGCTACGTCGGCCTCTACGTACGACGTTTCTTTGTTATGGTTCCATCTCCCATAATAAAATACGTCGTCAGACGGCGCTATATGAGGAAGACGGCTTTGTCCACCATATTGGATTGTGCAACATTCGCTATCTCACGTTTGTATTGTTTTGGGGGAGAACTTTTTGCCCTTCATTATGGCTCCCAAGCATAAAGCAGACTCGTGGATTCTTATGTAGGTGATTTCCGACCTACATCGAAAATCAGGTTATATCATTGACGTACGAACGGATCTCCGACGTAAAGTCGAGGACTCCACCTCTTACGGTAAATTAAATTTTTTTGTGAAACAGAATGTGTTTACATTTGCCTATGACCAACTTTGCAAGAGGGAAACTCAAGAAATGTATTTTATTTCTTTTTCTTCTCTTTTATTTTATTTCTTAGTTGGTCAACGATAAAACCGCGAAACTGATTAATTATGTCCATGACAGTCTGAGTAACTAGTTGATCCTCTCGAGAAACGTCTGCTCAATGATTCCATCTCGAGATGGTCATCTCCAGAGCTTTATGAGGAGCGAATTCTTTCATGTCGGATTTGTTCAGATTTGCTGCGTTATTTGGGAAGTATAACACCGGAGTGTCCCATGCCAGGATACAACCCAACATTTTTAATCATTCCATGGTTAAAATTGCCAAAGACTTAAGTTGTTAAATCTGAAAGAAAAAAAATCATTAGACGCTTACAAAATACCGGAAATTGTGGAGAGTCATGCTCACCAAAATCCCTTTTCGTAATAGGCTTCGATAAGTGTAACACGTTGTTTGATTGTTAATCCTTCCATGGCTGAAATTGCCCAAGACTTAAGTTGTTAAAAAGAAAATATCATTAGACGCTTAAACTTAATTCACATTTCAAATCGGTCCAATTTATTGGAACACCATTTACAAAGTACCGGAAATTGTGGAGAGCCATGATCACCAAAGTTCAGTTTCGCAATAGGCTTCGATAACTGTAACACGTTGTTTGATTGTTAATCCTTCCATGGTTGAAATTGCCCAAGACTTAAGTTGTTAAAAAGAAAATATCATTAGACGCTTAAACTTAATTCACATTTCAAATCGGTCCAATTTATTGGAACACCATTTACAAAGTACCGGAAATTGTGGAGAGCCATGATCACCAAAGTTCAGTTTCGCAATAGGCTTCGATAACTGTAACACGTTGTTTGATTGTTAATCCTTCCATGGCTGAAATTGCCAAAGACTTAAGTTGTTAAAAAGAAAATATCATTAGACGCTTAAACTTAATTCACATTTCAAATCGGTCCAATTTATTGGAACACCATTTACAAAGTACCGGAAATTGTGGAGAGCCATGATCACCAAAGTTCAGTTTCGCAATAGGCTTCGATAACTGTAACACGTTGTTTGATTGTTAATCTTTCTATGGTTGAAATTGCCCAAGACTTAAGTTGTTAAAAAGAAAATATCATTAGACGCTTAAACTTAATTCACATTTCAAATCGGTCCAATTTATTGGAACACCATTTACAAAGTACCGGAAATTGTGGAGAGCCATGATCACCAAAGTTCAGTTTCGCAATAGGCTTTGATAACTGTAACACGTTGTTTGATTGTTAATCCTTCCATGTTAAGTTGTTGAAATTGCCAAAGACTTAAGTTGTTAAAAAGAAAATATCATTAGACGCTTAAACTTAATTCACATTTCAAATCGGTCCAATTTATTGAACACCATTTACTTAAAGAACATTGGAAATTGTTTAGCCATGATCACCAAAGTTCAGTTTTCGCAAATAGGCTTCGATAACTGTAACACGTTGTTTGATTGTTAATCCTTCCATGGTTGAAATTGCCCAAGACTTAAGTTGTTAAAAAAGAAAATATCATTAGACGCTTAAACTTAATTCACATTTCAAATCGGTCCAATTTATTGGAACACCATTTACAAAGTACCGGAAATTGTGGAGAGCCATGATCACCAAAGTTCAGTTTCGCAATAGGCTTCGATAACTGTAACACGTTGTTTGATTGTTAATCTTTCTATGGTTGAAATTGCCAAAGACTTAAGTTGTTAAAAGAAAATATCATTAGACGCTTAAACTTAATTCACATTTCAAATCGGTCCAATTTATTGGAACACCATTACGGAAATTTTGGAGAGCCATGATCACCAAAGTTCAGTTTGCAATTGGCTTGATAACTGTAACACGTTGTTTGATTGTTAATCTTTCTATGGTTGAAATTGCCCAAGACTTAAGTTGTTAAAAAGAAAATATCATTAGACGCTTAAACTTAATTCACATTTCAAATCGGTCCAATTTATTGGAACACCATTTACAAAGTACCGGAAATTGTGGAGAGCCATGATCACCAAAGTTCAGTTTCGCAATAGGCTTCGATAACTGTAACACGTTGTTTGATTGTTAATCCTTCCATGGTTGAAATTGCCCAAGACTTAAGTTGTTAAAAAGAAAATATCATTAGACGCTTAAACTTAATTCACATTTCAAATCGGTCCAATTTATTGGAACACCATTTACAAAGTACCGGAAATTGTGGAGAGCCATGATCACCAAAGTTCAGTTTCGCAATAGGCTTCGATAACTGTAACACGTTGTTTGATTGTTAATCTTTCCATGGTTGAAATTGCCCAAGACTTAAGTTGTTAAAAAAAATATCATTAGACGCTTAAACTTAATTCACATTTCAAATCGGCCCAAGTTTTTGGAAGACCCTTTCCAAAGTACCGGAAATTGTGGAGAGCCATGATCACCAAAGTTCAGTTTTCGCAATAGGCTTCGATAACTGTAACACGTTGTTTGATTGTTAATCTTTCTATGGTTGAAATTGCCCAAGACTTAAGTTGTTAAAAAGAAAATATCATTAGACGCTTAAACTTAATTCACATTTCAAATCGGTCCAATTTATTGGAACACCATTTACAAAGTACCGGAAATTGTGGAGAGCCATGATCACCAAAGTTCAGTTTCGCAATAGGCTTCGATAACTGTAACACGTTGTTTGATTGTTAATCCTTCCATGGTTGAAATTGCCCAAGACTTAAGTTGTTAAAAAGAAAATATCATTAGACGCTTAAACTTAATTCACATTTCAAATCGGTCCAATTTATTGGAACACCATTTACAAAGTACCGGAAATTGTGGAGAGCCATGATCACCAAAGTTCAGTTTCGCAATAGGCTTCGATAACTGTAACACGTTGTTTGATTGTTAATCTTTCTATGGTTGAAATTGCCCAAGACTTAAGTTGTTAAAAA